AAGGCCATGTAAGGTATACATTTACATTTCGTCTTGCAACCATTGTGTATCTGATTTCTCTATTGTATAGGCCATGTGAGGCATACATTTACATTCCTCTTACTATGATGTAAACCAGAGCCAAGAAAGTGTATTTATTCCTGGCCTTTGAAAAATAAAATTTGCTGTTTAGGCACAGCCTATCAGCCCTCCAGACGCCTCGCTTTCTCTCTCTCTGTCTTTATTATTTTCTCAGGCGCACTCCCTCTTCCAGGTATTGGGACCCTCTTGCAGGTCGAGAGACCCCCGGGCAGACGTGCCTACCCGTCCGGACGGTCCACGACACTCCACTGAAGAGCCAAGAGTCAAAAAGACAGAAGAAAAAAAACCTGTAAGGCCTTTGAGAGGAATGATTTGGGGACTTGGAGTCACAGGGACCCTGGTTCAAATCCCAACGCTGCTTCCAACTCACTGTGATCTTGGAAGTCGGTTTGTCTCTGAGTCTTGACTTCCCCATCTGTAAAAGAGGGCTAGGAGCACTGGTCTGCAGAGTCACTGTGAGGAGCCCGGAACCACGGGGGCTCAAACTTCATGGGGCGTAAAGAGAGGGCGCGTGGGATTATTATTGCTACTGTTAGTCTCAGCCAGCCACCCTGTCTGCCTCTTATCTGAGACAGGAGGCAGAGCAGGATTCTGAGAAGTCCCCTGCCCCAGTACCCAGGATGGACTCCAGGGAGGAGGATCTGCAGACCCCTGTGCCGAGTCTGTATGCAGGACACCTGCCCCTAGTGTGCACCCCCTCAGCTGCCCACCCTGAGTCTCAGGTCAGGCTTGCCGGGCAGCTTCCTCTACTTCCCCTTTGCCCAGTGACATGCGCCTTATGGGGGCGGTAGGGAGGGGCACTGGAGAGGTTAGATCTCTTGGCCAACGGGGTGGAGGCCAAACCCAGCTGGGACAAGGTCCACGCCTGCTCTGCAGATGTGGCCACTGCTGCTGCTGTTTGGTAAAGAGCTGTGGGTAGGGGACTGGGAATAGAGAGGAAGGGGGGGCTGCCATTCCCGGAAGGCCAGGGTCAGGGTCCCAGTTCTCTTAAAACCAGTAACCCACCCTGGGTTTGAGCAGCAGAAACCTGGCGCCAGCACAGAGGAGGCAACAGGCAGCAAGGGTCTCAGTCTTCAGCCTGCAGGGAGGAGCTCCACGCAGGTCTCGAACTCCTGACCTCAGGTGATTGGCCCACCTCGGCCTCCCAAAGTGCTGGGATTACAGGCATGAGCCACCACGCCTGGCACCTTTTTTAATTAAAAAGGAGAGAGAGAGAGAATAGCTACAAATGTGTGGAACTTTGACATATATCGCATTTAATCCTCACAACAACTCTCTGGGTGTGATGAGGAAACTGGGACTCCAGGAGGTTAGGGGACTTTTCCGCAGTCACATCGGATTCCACCGCAGGCAGTGTCATTTCGAGCTGGAGGGGTGAGGGCTGGAAGCTGGGCTGCAGAGGTCGCAGGGCCGGGATGCATGGTAGACCTGCAAGGCCCTGGGACCCGGCGCTGAGCTCTGAGGCCTCAGGCCCCTACGATGCAGGGCCCAGGCCGGCTGAGGCCTCCAGCAAGAAGGGCCTAGACAAATGGCTTTGGCAGGCCAGCATCTTCCTGGACACCTGGTACCGCTGTGAGGGGGCTCTCATCTCTGAAGAGTGGGTGCTCACGGGTGCCAGCTGCATTGACAGGTTGCATGGCCAGGAGGCGTGGTGAGGAGGAGTTCCAGGAGGGTGCCCCCCCACCTCTCCAGCCCCCCCACCTCTCCAGCCCCTGCACCTCTCCAGCCTCTCCACCTCTCCAGCCTCTCCACCTCTCCAGCCTCTCCACCTCTCCAGCTTCTCCACCTCTCCAGCCCCCCCACCTCTCCAGCCTCTCCACCTCTCCAGCCTCTCCACCTCTCCAGCTTCTCCACCTCTCCAGCCCCCCCACCTCTCCAGCCTCTCCACCTCTCCAGCCTCTCCACCTCTCCAGCTTCTCCACCTCTCCAGCCCCCCCACCTCTCCAGCCCCCCACCTCTCCAGCCTCTCCACCTCTCCAGCTTCTCCACCTCTCCAGCCTCTCCACCTCTCCAGCTTCTCCACCTCTCCAGCCCCCCACCTCTCCAGCCTCTCCACCTCTCCAGCTTCTCCACCTCTCCAGCCCCCCACCTCTCCAGCCTCTCCACCTCTCCAGCCTCTCCACCTCCCCTTTGTCTCCTCCCTCCACAACTGACCTTGGTCCCACTTCAGTGTGACCTTGAGTCCAGGTCGACTGCAGATGGACTCTTGTGAGATCAAGTCTCCATGGTGAGCTACTCCTGTCCTCACAGGGCCTGAGGGGTCTGGGTTTGGTGGCCTGGCCCTGGCATGACTGGCAAGGCCTCCGTCGCTCACCAGCGCTGTGCGGCCTGTCCCCCTGGCCGCCCAATCCCACTGTTTCCTCTCCTGAGACAGCTCTGCTGGGCCCAGAGGTTTGAACCCGATTTCGGTAAGGGTGGGAGCAGAAGCCTGGGATGGTTGAGAGACTTGGGGAGGCAGGTGGCCAGGGTGGAGCTCGGGACCCTGCAGGGGCTCTGGCCAGCTGCCCAGCTGCACCATGGCCACGGGCATGCAGGGGAGAGGGCTGGTGCTGACACCTGGTCTTCTGGAGCCAGCTTCCAGCCCCACCGCTGCCCAGTGACTGACAGCCCCACCTGCCCAGTGCACTGGAAGCTTCCCTGAGGGGGCTGTGTGGGAGTGCACCAGAGGACAGAGTTGTCCTAAGAGTGACGCGGGAGTGTGGAACGTCTAGGAGGACAGAGCCCAGGAAGGCATGTGGGGGCAGGGAGACTCGGCACAGGCAGGGAAGCTTGGCAAAATACGGTAACAACCGGCATGGCTGGGCTGGTGCAGGCCTGCTGGATGCCAATCGGGCTGAGGGTCTGCCCCACCCCGTGCCGCAGAGTGTCCTGCTGAAACCGCTGCACGTCAGCATCTGCAGAGATGACTTTCTCCCCCAACCTGACTGTCTGGACCTGAAGGACAGCCTGCCCAACGGCTTCCAGTGCACCGGGCTCTCCACTGGGCTCCCTGAACTGGTGGTAAGGATTCCAGCAGGCCCCATGCAAGCCCCTGAGACTCCCTCCCTCGAAGTCCCTTCTAATGCCACTAGACTTGTTCCAAGTTAGGCCTGGTCATCCTCCCATCCTATCCTGGAGTCTCCCATTCCCCAGCAACCAGCGGTCAGGCTTATTTGTATCCCCCAAGGCCACCCTAGAACTTCCTACCCCTTGCAGAGCCTCCCCCATTATGTCCTATGGAATGTGGGGCAGCCTTTGGTATCGCCAGCGCTTAAACTACTGGGAGCCCTCAGTTACTCAATAATTACAAGCATTTTGCTGAAAACTAACTTTTGTGTAATACTGAGCCTCAAAGGCCAAAGGGAGGAAAGAATTGGGTGAGACTGATAGAATGCGTGGGAGAAAGCACTTTCACTAGAAAGAGACAGACAGAGGGGTGGTGGTAGGGAGTATGACCCTCCCTCCAAGAGGGGAAATGGGCCCTGTCTTGGACTCTGGGTGCAGCACTTGGGCCCCCAGCCGACCCGCTCCCCAGTCCTCCCAATCCCTCCCCCAGCTGATCTTGTCAGATGTGTGAACCTGGTTACCCACTGCCCGCCTCCCCTGATCAAATACCTTCGCTCACTGGGCAGGGGGTGGTTCAGTGGGTGCGGGCTGCGCTGCGACTGTTCCTTTTCTCCCTCATGCAGGTGGCTGATGGGACCCCCCTAGTCTGCTCCCAAGCTGGCAGCTGGCTGCTGCAGGGTGTGATGACCTGGGGTCCTGCTTGGAGCCTTGCCTCCGGGGAGTCTATGCATCTGTGAATTCCTTCATTTCCTGGATCCGAGATAAACGTCTCCAACGTCTCATTTGACACCTCTGCCAACAGATGCTCTTGGGACTGGCCCAGGATAAGACAGAGGCAGTGAAGGTTGTTAGCCTCGGGAGTCCTGCCTGGGTTCAAATCCTGACTTAGCTACTTACCTGCCTTTCCCATCTGAATCTGTTTCCTCCTCCGTAAAATGGAGATGTTTTCAATTACTCATTTATTCAAGAAGTTAGTAGTTACCAAGTGCTTACTATGTGACAGGCCACAAAGATACAAGACTGACTTGTGGAGCTGGCAGTCTAGTGAGGGAGGCAAGCACTAGGCCGAATTATGACCGGAATAAATGTGCAAACACAAACAATGGGGGCTCTAAGAGAACTGGATCCATGTGTTCACGGAGGCTGCGACCTACTCGGGGTGTCCAGGGGGTAACTGACATTTGAACGCGGTCTCGACAGATTTTCGTCGATTCTGGCTAGCAACTCCCATGAGCGCTGGCTGACTGGGGTGCCAGGAGCCACCCACTGCAGGCCTCCGTTTCCCCAGCTTCGCACTGAAGAGCGATGACTTGGATGTAAGAATTCTTGAGGTCCCTTTCAAGTTTGTTTAATAAACTTTTCGAGGGCGAGGGTCTCCAAGCCACAAGGGCGCATCCCCTTCACCTGCTTGGATCTTGCTTGACCCCAGGTGGGGAGCCTCTTCCAGCGTTAACCCGGGCAGCTACGGTCACGCCGCCCGCGCTCCGCAGCGCCTCCCTCCGCATCCTCGCGGTGGGGCCACAGCGACATCTAGTGGCTGAAGGTATTTTTAACACGCGGCTTGCCGCTGGCGTCAATCAGGGGCGCTGCTCCCCAGAACTCAGCTCTCTTCCGCCTCCGCGCTTCGTGGGGAACCGGGCAGAGCCAGAGTGAACAAGCATTCCCTGCGGTGCAATTGAGTCGAGCGGTAGAGCTGGCTTTTTCTGACAGCTCAACGCTCCCACCCCAGGTCTCTCGGTCCTAACTGCTCCAAGGACGGGTGGGGCCTCGGTGTGGAGCCCCGCCCCTCGTGCCCTGCCCCGCACGAGCCCCGCCCCCTACGCCAGCGCTTGCTAACTGCGCCTGCGCGTGTTACACACACACACACACACACACACACACACACACACACACACACTCGCGTGGCTTTCGCGAAGGTGTCGCTGCCAAGAAACGTGTCCCGCGCGCCACGCCGTCTGTTTCTAGGGCAACGCCGGCGTCTCTTAGCAACCGCGCGCGGCCTAGGTGGATTCCCCCGGAACCCCCAACTATGCCATGACGACCGCGAGTCCTAGCGTCTTTCTACTGATGGTCAACGGGCAGGTGGAGAGCGCCCAGGTAAGCGGCCGTGGACCCCGCGGGGGCCCGCCCCCCAGCATCCCCCGGGGCCCTTCCTGCAACCCCGCGGGCTACCCTATGGCCCCCGGAGAGCCACGTCATTCCTTTGAGCCTCTCCGTTAGGCGGGGGCGGGAAGCCAGCATTGGAGGACTTGGCGCGAGGTTTTCGGAATCCTGAGTTCCGATGTGCAGGTGTAGAAGCAGACCTCGAGATGTTGAGCTAGTACTGAGGTCACACTCGGCCGAGCCTGTGGCCCCTCGGACGTATCATGCCCACTTCGTTGAGTCACTAGCGGGAGCCTCCGGGGTGTAACGCGAGGAGCCGAGGCTCGGCCGAGTTTCCGGCATTTGCTCCGCATCGGGTGTCCAGCTACTGCTCCGCTTTCTGAATCCCCAGATCCTTGAACTCGGGTTCGAATCCAACCATCCAGCGATGGCGGTGGCCTGGAATACCCCAGGGAAGGTGTGCCTGTCAGGCCTGAGGGACAGGACGCTACTCTCCATCCCCCTGCACTTTAGAGGAACCATTTATTGTAAACAAAAACCAACACTCACCAAGTCCTCAATACGTGCCAAAGTCAGTGCTCAGCACTGCTTATTCCATCCTGACAACCTTGCCAGATAGGCACTACTAACACCCCCATTGCACAGCCGGTGAAACAGCCAAAGCAACTGGCCTGTCTGGGAATTGAACCCATACCTGTCTGACCTCAAAGCTTTGCTACACTGTCCTTCCAGGTTGTTGGAGATGGCGTTTATTATATTTTATTATTATTATATTTTATTATATTATTTTATTATTATTATATTATTGTGAGGTGTGACTGAGACGGTTTGGGTAAGGCTCTGATAGGGCCTGATGCTTTGCTGGTGTCTCCTGCCTTCCTGTTTCATCAGGGTTACTGTTCCACGCTCCCACCCTGTCTGCCTCTGCCTTAGCCTAGTGCCTAAGACCGTCTTTCTTCCCTCTCCTGTTCTATCCCATTAGGGGCTCTTGGCTGGGCTGAGTCACATGTGTCTGTGCTCTCAGCATCATCAGCCCCCCCCCAACACACACACTCACACTCACACTGTTCCTCCCTGCTCTGCTCTCAGCACCTCCCTCTTCAGGGCCTCAGCTCCAGCCTTGCATATGCCCTGTGCCTGATGGCTTCCTGGGTTCTAAGACCTTTCACTTCAGCACCATTCCCTTTCACTAGCAGTCCTCAGCCTTTTTGCCACCAGGGACTGGTTTCATGGAAGACAGTTTTCCCACAGACAGGAAGTGGCGAGGGATGGTTTGAGGATGATTTGGGGACATTACCTTTATTGTAAACTTTATGTCTATTATTATTACATTGTAAAGTATAATGAAATAATTATACAACTCACCGTAATGTAGAATCAGTGGGAGCCCTGAGCTTGTTTTCCTGCAACTAGATGGTCCCATCTGAGGGTGATGTGGTGACAGTGACAGATCATCAGGCGTTAGGTTCTCATAAGGAGCGAGCAACCTGAATCCCTCACATGAACAGTTCACAATAGGGTTCATGTTCCTGAGAATCTAATGCCGCCACTGCTCAGAGGAGGCAGAGCTCCAATGGGGAACTGCTGTAAATACAGATGAAGCTTTGCTTGCTTGCCTGCTGCTCACCGCCTGTTGTGTGGACCCGTTCCTACAGGCCACAGACTGGTACAGGTTGGGGACCCCTGCCTTAGACCTCGTCTGTGCCCAGCCCTGTGCCGGGCAATGGAGACACAGAAAGGCATGAAATCTATTCTCTGCTTATGGTCTAGAGGAATTGACAGACTTAGGCACAGGCAATCATTGCTTTTATGGAGGGAAGCATGGGGCTGCAAGAGCCAAGAGGAGACCTTAAACCAGCCTGAGAGTGAGGGCAGGCTCCCTGAAGGGTAAGTTTTGAAGTATGAGCAGGAGTTTTCCAGATGAAGAAATAGAAAGGACAGATCAGACAGAAGGCAGAGCCTGAGCAAAAGCCTGGGACTCTCCGTGGACTCCCACATCTTGGCCCTGAGCCTCTCCTCTGAACGCCAGGTCCACATCCCCAGCTGGCTCTTAGACCCAATCCCAGGTGCCTCATGTGCAGCATTCCTCTTGGCTGCCCTTGTCTGGCAAACGCATTGGCCACAGCGTGAATACCAGTTGACAGACTCTGTGCTTTTTTCAGTTTCCAGAGTATGATGACCTCTACTGCAAGTACTGCTTTGTATATGGCCAGGACTGGGCCCCCACAGCGGTAAGCCGGACTCTTGGGCCTCCCTTACTTGCCGCCTTCATGACTTTTGGGGTTTCCGAAGGTGTCATACCCTTCCCCTCCCCATTCAGAACCAGTCAAGGGGTAGACACTGAGTTCAGGGGACCCACACATGAGTGTTCCTGGTAAGCTGGAGCAGAGGACACAGCCACAGTTGGACCCCCTCATCCATCCCCCAAAACCACTCACACACCCTTCCCTGTGAGCTTGCCTGGGGCAGCAAAGAGCAGTGCCTGCAGCAGGGGGCTGGCCCTGGTGAGCCAGCCTGGCTATGGCCAGGCTGTGGACACTCTGGCCAGTCTGCTCACCATTTGGCCTGTCCTTAGCCAGTGGGAAGGACACATGTTCTTGTTGGGGGAGGGGTCAGATAATAAGGAGTGCCTATTCTAGGATGTCAGTGAGCCAGAAGTGCGGTGGGGAGACCAAGCCAGGAAGTGACAGGGATGAGCCATGAGAAGGAGGCCACGATCTCACTAAGGCCGCCAGGGAGGGCCTTGCCAAGAAAGCAACTTTTGAATAAAGACCTGAAGGAAGTGTGGGAACAAGCCATGGGGAAACCTGTGATAAGTGTCCAGGCGGAAAGCAGAGAGTACAAAGGCCCTGGGGCAGGAGCGTGCCCGGCATGTTTGAGGACCAGCAGGGAGGCCGTGTGGCTCCTGGAGAGGGAGCCAGCAGGAGAGCAGCTGGAGATGGAGCAGGGCGGCACCAGGGCAGATCTTGTAGGACTTACAAGGTCAGAGTAAGGACTGTGACCTTTACTCAAAGGGAGTGGGGTCCCCTTGGAGAGCTTTCAAAGAGAAGAAAGTGATCTGACTCATGTTTTTAGAAGATTCCCTGGCTTCTATGACAAGGATAGACTGCGGGAAAGGGCAAGAGCAGGCAGCACGGTTGGCTTTGACAGCAGTGCAATGAGAGGAGGGCAGCAGCAGTGCGGTGCGGGAGGGCTGGACGGCGGGAGGGCTGGACGGCGGGAGGGGTGGACGGCGGGAGGGCTGGACGGCGGGAGGGCTGGACGGCGGGAGGGCTGGACGGCGGGAGGGCTGGACGGTGGGAGGGGTGGACGGCGGGAGGGCTGGACGGCGGGAGGGCTGGACTGCGTGTACACCCTGGAGATAGAGCCACGGGGCTCTTCTGATGGATGTGGGGTCTGAAGAAGGAGGAGTTAGGATTCACAGCAGGGCTTTTAGCCTGAGCACTTAGAAGTAGGGAGCTGCCTTTCAGTGAGAAGAGCAGATTGGGGAGCTCAGCCTGGTGTGGGTTAAGGTTGAGGCGCCCACTGGATGTACAAGAGGAGATGTTGATCCACAGTACAGAGGCAAGGACCAGGATGGAGACCTAAATTTGGGAACCTTCGACATCTAAAGCACATCGAAAGCCATGAGACAGATGAGATCACCGTGTACAGGTAAAGGAGCCGGCCAAAGATGCAGCCGTAGGATGGCACACTGAGAAGGAACCAGCAGGAGCCACCAAGCAGGGCCACCCTGTGCAGTGGGAGACCCAGAAGCCAAGAGAAGACAGTGTATCAAGGAGGAAGCAACTGTGTCAGGGGCTGCTGATGGCTCAAGTAACACGGGGACGGAGAAATGACAGTTTTGCATCTGGCAATGCTGATCATGGGCATTATTGGAGAAAACCCTTTGGTAGAGTGCTGGAGCCAGCAGTCACATTGGAGCGGGGTCACAGAAGAACAGCAGGGGCGAGGCCCCATGCAATGGCTCACGCCTGTAATCCCAGCACTTTGGGAGACTGAATCAGGCAGATCATGAGGTCAGGAGTTTGAGACCAGCCTGACCAACATGGGGAAACCCCATCTCTACTAAAAATACAAAAGTTAGCCGGGCATGGCATGCCTGTAATCCCAGCTACTCAGGAGGCTGAGGCAGGAGGATCACTTGAACCCGGGGGGCAGAAGTTGCAGTGAGCCGAGATTCCTTCACTGCCCTCCAGGCTGAGGCGACAGAGTGAGACTGTTTAAAAAAAAAAAAAAAATAGCAGGGGAGAAAATGGAACTGGTGAGTGAGGCAGCTCTTGGAAGTAGTTTTGCTGTAATGGGAGCAGAGAATGGGTTGGTGGGTGGAAGAGGCAGCAGAGTTGAAAGAGGACTGTGTGATGGACAAAATATATCTGTGTGCTTACCAATGGGGATGCTCGGATGCGGGTGGGGATGCAGGGGGGTGCAAGCACCGCTGGACCATTTCCTTTGTAGGGCAGGAGCTTGGGACCAGATGTAGTGCCCTCGTGCCTGGGAGAGTGGCTGGCCTCCCAGGGTTGTCACACACGCTACCACATTAAAGTACCACACTTAAGGGGTACTCCATCATCTCTTAGTCCCCTTTGTTTGGAAGCTCGTGTCTTGGGAGAAGATAGCTGAGAAAACAGCCCTCCCAGCTGCCTGCTGAAGGTAAGGGAGGAGCCACAGCGGCTTGACTCTGATCTGACTCCAGCTGTCTCTGTCATTGTCCCCACAGGGTCTGGAGGAGGGGATCTCACAGATCACATCTAAGAGCCAAGATGTGCGGCAAGCACTGGTGTGGAACTTCCCTATTGATGTCACCTTTAAAAGCACCAACCCCTACGGCTGTGAGTCTGCAGGGGCCCTGCAGGGGAGGGTGGCAGAGCTTTCACACGGCACCTCTAGGACGTCCTCTGTCTCATCCAGCCCATGACTGCTCACATTCAGATTGTCACCTGGGCTCTTGAAGCAGCCCTCAGCACTCTCTCTCGCCATCTGTCCCTTTCCCTCCTTTTCTTCATCTGCACTTACCCCGGTTCATCTGTTATCGGCTGTGCAGCTGGCCTTCTGGAAGTTCAGAGTGGATCAGGGCCAGTGACCATGCCTGTAAAAGGCAGGCCCCTCCCTGGCATGCAGGGCGGCAGCTGTCTGGCCTGGAGGTCTGACTCGGTGCCTTTTGACTTCCCGTGGCCTGTTGTGTTCCGACCAGACCCTGGCACTTGCTCCTCCTGGGCTAGCCCCTCAAGTCCCTTCACCTGAGCTTCGTTCATGCTGATCCCTCTCTCCAGATACCTTTCCCCTGTCCTACCTCCAACGTCTTTCCCAAGGGCTTCCTGGCTGGCATTACTTATTTTCTACCCTGGCTGGTGCTTATTAACCATGCTGATCTTCCACTTGCACTTAGTGAGTGCCTACTGTACACAAAGCCTGGGCTTAGTCTCCATGGGGACGATGAATACTTTCCCTATGTGGACTCATCTGAGCTTCCCAATCATACCTGGTGGATACATTTATCTCCATTTCTTTTCCCGTATGAGGAAACTAACACTCAAAACTGACGTCACTTGCCTTCTGCTTTACATCTGGTGACCAAGTGTGGATTTTCATTCAGGCCCCTCTGATTTCACCATCTAGGCCTTTCTGCTGCATGTGGCCGGGGCCTAGGCTCACCACAGTGTTGAGGGTCAGGAGCAGAAAATGCCTGGTGGTCCTCTTGGGCAGGGAATTCCATTCCGCTGTCATCGTCTATGAATAGGAAGCTGTGGTCGACTTCCTGTAACAGTGCAGTAAGTACTGTAGGAACTCGGCCAACCTCCTCCTGCTGAGGACAGGTAGGAGAGGTAAATGAAATACACAAAGGCAAAAACAAAAAGCAACTACCTCTAAGGCATCAGAGAGCTAGTGAAATAGAAGAGATTTACCGGGTAAGATCCAGGAGAACAGAAATCCAGAGGTTACCCCCATCCCATCTCCCCGGGAGTGTCTGCCGATTCCAAACAAGACTTTTGACAGCCTCTCTGGGCCCAGGACACACACACAAAACGGATGTTCAGAGCCTTCCAAGGGGTTGGGAGGAGGGCCTCAGGTAAACCTCTGCAAACTGGGTTAAGACCTCAAAGAGCTGCCCTAGGAATAAGGGAGAGATGGAAGCAGAGCAGTCTGACAGGGATTGCAGCCTGGCCCTGATAATTTCAACCTCCTGATTTTCGCATTCAGCTCCAAGATTGTTACACCCAAGGCACCTGGCAAAAGCAAATAAGAAACCTCTTTTGGCTGGGCATGGTGGCTCATGTCTGTAATCCTAGCACTTGGGAAGCCGAGGCAGGTGGATCGCCTGAGGCCAGGAGTTTGAGACCAACCTGACCAACATGGAGAAACCCTGTCTCTACTAAAAGTACAAAATTAGCTGGGCATGGTGGCACATTCCTGTAATCCCAGGTACTTGGGAGGCTGAGGCAGGAGAGTCGCTTCAACTTGGGAGGCAGAGGTTGCAGTGAGCCAAGATGGTGTCATTGCACTCCAGCCTGGGCAACAAGAGCGAAACTCCATCTCAAAAAAAAAAAAGTCTGGGCATGGTGGCTCACGCCTATAATCCCAACACTTTAGGAGGCCAAGGTAGGCAGATCACAAGGTCAGTAGTTCAAGACCAGCCTGACTAACAGTGAAACCCCATCTCTACTAAAAATATTTAAAAAAAAATTAGCTGGGTGTTGTGGTGCATGCCTGTAATCCCAGCTACTCAGTAAGCTGAGGCAGGAGAATCGCTTGAGCCTGGGAGGCGGAGGTTGCAGTGAACTGAGATCGCACCACTGTACTCCAGGCTAGGAGACAGAGCAAGACTCCATCTCAAAAAAAAAAAAAAAAGAAAGAAATTCACTCATGAACGTAGTTGCAAAACTCCCAAACGAAATATTCAGAAACTGAATTCAAAATTCCCAAATGAAATACTCAAAAACTAGCAAGTAAAAAAAAAAAAAAAAACGAATAATAAAATACATCATAAAAAGTAGGGTTTATTCCAAAAATACAAAGCTTTTAAGGCACCAGGCATAGTCCTCATACCTGCAGTTTCAACACTTTGGGAGGCCGAAGTGGGAGGATTGCTTGAGGCACGGAGTTGGAGACCAAGCTGGGCAACACAGCAAGACCCTATCTCTTAAAAGAAAAAAATCTAAAATTGATCAGTGTCATTCGCTACAATAAATAAAAGAAAAGTCAGAGTCAGGCCGGGCACTATGGCCCACACCTGTAATCCCAGCACTTTGGGAGGCCGAGGCAGGCAGATCATTTGAGGTCAGGAGTTTGAGACCAGCCTGGCTAGCCTGGTGAAACCCTGTCTCTACTAAAGATATAAAAGTTAGCGGCGGCCGGGCGCGGTGGCTCAAGCCTATAATCCCAGCACTTTGGGAGGCCGAGGCGGGTGGATCACGAGGTCAAGAGATCGAGACCATCCTGGTCAACATAGTGAAACCCCGTCTCTACTAAAAATACAAAAAATTAGCTGGGCATGGTGGCGTGTGCCTGTAATCCCAGCTACTCAGGAGGCCGAGACAGGAGAATTGCCTGAGCCCAGGAGGCGGAGGTTGCAGTGAGCCGAGATCGCGCCATTGCACTCCAGCCTGGGTAACAAGAGCGAAACTCCGTCTCAAAAAAAAAAAAAAAAAAAAAGTTAGCGGCATGATAGTGCACGCCTGTAATCCCAGCTACTTGCGAGGCTGAGGCAGGAGAATTTGCTTGAACCTGGGAAGCAGAGGTTGCCATGAGCCAAGCCCACACCACTGCACTCCAGCCTGGGTGACAGAGTGAGACTGTCTCAAAAAAAGAAGAAAAATGATCATCCCTATAAATGAAGAAAACATGGTAAAATTCAACATCCATTCATAATAAAAGCTTAGTAAGCTAGGAAGAGAAAGAAACTTTCCTAACCTGATCAAGATTATCTACGAAAGCTTAGAGCAAACATTACTTTTGCCATTGAAACGTCTAAAGATTTTTCTTGAGATCAGCCTGCTTGTTATCACCGTTAATGCTGTACAAATAACAAGTGTAAGAATTAGGAAGAATAAAATATTCATAGACAAGATGATCATGTAGAATTTCAAAATAATCCATAGAAAAATTGTTAGAGTTAATAGATGGGCATGAATCTGGATATAAGATCAATGTATCTTAACAAAAATCAGTTGCTTTCTGTATGCCAACAATAAATAGAAAATGGTATTTTTAAGATATATTCTTTATAATAGTGTTAAAATACAACTTGTTCTACCAGATAGGAAGCTTCAATTATAATCACAGTACGTTAGGCTGGGCATGGTGGCTTGCACTAGTAATCCCAGCACTTTGGGAGGCCAAGGCAGGTGGATCAGGAGTTTGAGACCAGCCTGGCCAACATGGCGAAACTCTGTCTCAGCTAAAAAATACAAAAATTAGCTGGGCGTGATGGTAGGCGCCTGTAGTCCCAGTTACTCGGGAGGCTGGGGAGAATCGCTTGAACCCAGGAGGCAGAGGTTTCAGTGGGCCAAGATTGCGCCACTATATCCCAGCCTGGGAGACAGAGGAAGACTCCATCTAAATACACACACACACACACACACACACACACACACACACACACATCTAAAATGAAGGAAATGTAATTTAAACCTACAGTGAGCTACCAGTATTCGTTCACCAGGACAGCTCAAATTTAAAAGATTGGTAATGCCATGTTTTGGTGAGGTGTAGAGTAGCGGGAATCAGACACCACTGCGAGGGGAGTGCCGGCAGCTTTGGGTTACCTTTTCGGAGGGAACGGACATGGGCCCTGTGCAGCATGCTTCTTGGGTGTGTGCCCACCACATGTGCACACATCTGTAGCATGCACATGAGTACCGAGAGCACCTACACCATGGTGCTCAGCTTCTAGCAGAAGGGCAACCCATGTGTCCATCAGCACCAGAATGAACAGTCCCTGTGGCAGATTCCCATGCAGAACGTTAAATGGCACTGAAAATGAACACCCCCCTGTACAGGAAACCATTTGAGAAAATCTCACCGTCATAATGTTGGATTAGAGGCTGGGCACAAAAATAAACATGTTGTATAATTCCTTTTGCATGAAGGTTCAAAAAAATTGGTACAAGTAAAATACCGGGTTTGGGATGCATCCTTTGACAGTGAAGTCTTAAAGAAAAGTAAAGAGGTGGTTTCATAAAATTCAGAGTAACGGTTACCTTTGGTGGAGGGTAGCCACGGGAAGGGCACAAACCTCTCCCTGACATTTAGTGAGCACTTACTATGCGTTAGGTACTATTTCATGTGTCTTAGAGATGACGAAACAGGGGCAGAGAGGTTCGGTAACCCGCCTCAGCCGTGGCTGCAGGATCGGAGCCTGGCAGGTTGGCTCCTAGGCCTTCCCTGGGCCTCACCTGAAACTGGCGAGGTGAAAGCGCCTTTGCATCTCGATGGTTACAGGAAGTGGGTGTCAAAACAACCACACCAATTATATTACCTATCAGATTTCAAAGAAAAATGCCCAGAAAGTTTTTGTTTTCTCTCTGACTTCTCTAGACACCCCCAAAATAAGCCTGTGCCACCCCAATCCCCTGAGCCTGCCTCCATCAGGAAGGAGCGCCCAGAGAGTGAGGTCCTTAGTCCGCTCTGATCACAGCTGCAGCCCTGGGCGTAGACTAGGGCCTCTGGAAGTGCCTCCTTGTACATGGGAGTGGCTGAGTGGGTCCTGACTCTGCAGCGGGGAGACGGGGTGTGGAGTGTGTGCCCAGGCCTCAGTAGAGACACAGGAAGTACCAGGGTAGGCAGAAGTCCTCGACACCGTCTGGGTTCCCATGCCTGCTCCTGTCCCCTCTCAGACCTGCTACCTCAGGGCTTTGAGCCCAATCCTCTGAGCACCCTCAGCTGGACACTCCCTGTTCTCTGCCCTGCACCTCCCCCATGTGTCCTCACGTGCCCACCCCCTGCCTTGTCCTTCTCAAGGGCCACAGATCGTGCTCAGCGTGTATGGACCAGATGTGTTCGGGAACGATGTGGTTCGAGGCTATGGGGCGGTGCATGTGCCCTTCTCACCTGGCCGGTACGTCCTCACTCTGATCTGGGCTTGTCCTAGGACAGACCTTGCCCCGTTTTCTGTCTTAGGTTCAGGCTGGGAAAGCTCTGTGGTCCCCAGGGGCCTGGGCAGCTCAGCCTGGTGGCGGGGGCGGGGGGCATGGGGTGTAACCTATATTTGGGAAGAGAACCTCTAGGATGGGTGGTGTCTGCCACACACCAGGTGGGGTGGGGAGGCAGTGGGCCCCAGGAAAGAAAATTCCCGATGGACTGACGTCCATGAGACACTCTCCCAGGGCTCAGCTCCGTGCCCAGGCACAGTAGTGCTCAGTTAGCAGGTTGGATTCGTTAGCATTGGCCCTGACTTGGCCCACGCTGCAGCTGGCACTGGCCTGATCTGAGTGTTTCTGCTCCCTGGAGGCTCAGAAAGGTCTGTGACGCAGCACCTGTGTCTGCAAAAACATTTGTTTCAGGCACAAAAGGACCATCCCCATGTTTGTCCCAGAATCTACGTCTAAACTGCAGAAGTTTACAAGGTGAGTTTCGTACCTATAACCCCAGCCCCTCCTCCTGATCTACTGGATGAATGTCACATTCTACCCCTCAGTTTGCGCCTGGTCGCCTCCTCAGATCTGCAAGCTGCTCCACCCACTGGGGACAAATCGAAACAGGTCCCCCGGGAGTGCTGAGTCACGGGGCTCCCTTCAGCCTCTGTTCTAGCAGCAGAAGCCTGGCTGATTTTACCCTGTGCCCTGTGAAAAATCTTTGTGTCCGATGGGAAAAATACTCATGACATAATGTGACATTAAAAGGTGGGAAACGGGGATACAGCAGTATGAGCCAGACGCCTTGGCACAGTAATCATGATAAACGCCTTTGTATGTGGGAGTCTGTGGCCTGAGCTGACGTTTGCGCTGAGGCTTAGCGTGGAGGGAAGAGCAGGGAAGAACACCAGGCCCAGGGAACAGGGCCTGCCAGGCTGAGGGGAGCACGAGCTTAGCATGCTAGGAGAAGCCAGGACGGCGGCTTGGCCAGTACGTGATAAGCCAGGCAGAATTAGGGAGACGGGGGGGGTGGGCAGGCAGGGGCCAGCACACCAGCGCCTGCAGGGAGGGCCTGGGGGATGCCCGATGCAGCCCCAGCAGGAAGGTCTCTTACCCCCTGCCCACATCCACGTGGGAGCTTAGAGGGCTGGCTGGGCCCTGGCCTTCTGACTGGAGGCCCATTAGCACAGTTGGGCAGCAAGTCTCTGCCGCCCCCCAGCAGGTCAGTGAGGCACAAGGGGAAGATGGAGGACGCCCTGGGTTCCAGCCCCGGTGAGCCTGGCCAGTATTGGGCTTGAGAACTGGCCAGAGCCCTGCTGGGTGGAGGGACAGCATTGCGCCTCAGGGCTGAGAACACCTCGCTGAGCTCAGAACTGTGGAGGGAGGAACGGCAGCGTCTCCGTGGGCTCAGCCTAAGCTTCTGTGTGCCCACTGCCCCTAGGAGCCCTTCTGGGAGGCCACCCTGTGGCAAAGGACTTCTTTCCCAGATGGCCTGGGCCAGCATCACCTGGAGGTGACAATCCCCATGCCACAGGCTGTCAGGGAGGCAGCGGAGCAGCGCCGTCAGTGGTCTGGGAAGCCTAAGGGACTGGTGGGATCCGCACAGCCATCCCGGCCGGGCTGTTCACCCTATTCCACCGCCCACAGCTCCAAGGAGGACTTTGGGCCTCCAGGGGAGAGCTCGCTGTGGAAGGGGTTTCACAGCCCCTGTGGAGGGGCTTGCAACTGGGCAAGGCAGTATGTGCTTGGATTACAAAAACGGGAAAGATCTGATTAGTGAAGGCCGTCTGATTGGCAGAATCTTCCCAAATGTGGAGGCTACTTGCTGAAGCTGAGAGCTCAGTCATCCCCACCCCTCTCCCATCCTCTCTCCACATCCTCTGGCCTGGCCTAGTGTCTGCCCCAAACACTCTTGGCCCCTGGATTAATTTCCCATGGTGGCTGCTGCGGTCGCCCTTTCAGTTTCTGGTGGCCCCAGCTTTGCTTGGCTTGTCGCCTCATCGCTCCAGTCTCTGCCTCTAGGGTCACAAGGCCACCTCCTCTGTCTGTGAAATCTCCCTCTCTCCTTTTCTGACAAGTGTCTTGTGATGGCATTTAGGGCCCCCCTGGATAATCGTCGCAAGAGCCTTGGCCTAATCATGTCTGCTAAGTGCATGTGACCCTTTTTCTCAGTAAGGTCCCATGCACAGTTTCCCGGGGCTAGGATCTGCCGTCTTTGTGGGCTGTTATTCAGCCTGCTGCACCCCCTCCAGTCTAGTCTTCACTCAGAAAAAAAAAAAAAAAAAACAACAACTGTGTTCCTGAAACACCCCTCCGCTTTGAGAACCTGCCCCATGCTGTGCCTCTTTCAGGAAGAATTTCAACCACAATGCCGCCAGGCCCGGGTGGTTGGGCCCTGCCCACCTCATGGCCTCTGCCCCTTGCTTCCCATCTGCCTCAGTTCCTCTAGCCCGAGGGGTCCTTCCCTGCCTTGGGCCCTTGCCTGGAAAGCCCTCCAGAACAGTCTCTCATCTCTCCCACCCCAGCCAGCCAAGCAGACCGCCCTGGCGCACCCAGGAAAGAAATTCACTGGGGACAGGCTCTCCATATGTGAGCTCCGGGATGGGATCTGGGATCTGCTGGGCGTGGTGTGGACGCTCCCAGGCCCCAGTCCTCACACACAGCCCCCTGTGAGGTGGGTGCTTCGAGGGCCTCGCTCTCCCAAAGGAGAAACTGAGGTGCAGGGGTCGTGGCTGCCTGTCCCTTCCTCTTGGGGAGCACCCACTGGCTTTCACTCCCTGGCTCCCTCCTCGGAGTTGGGGGCTGGTGGGCAGTGCTCCCTGGCTGTGGGCTTCACAGGCCAACCCCCTGTCGTAGCCGGGGTCCCCTCCGCGGCAGCCCTGGGTGAGCACTGGTGCCCACCTCGGAGGTGGAGAGGCCAAGGGGAGGGCTGCACGGGGCTGTTGCATTGCCACGGTTGCCAGCGACCCTCGGGGGCCAGGTGTGATGCGGGGTGTCCCTGGGAGCTGTGGCACGGAGGAGGCCCGGCCGTGAGTCCTGGCGAGGCGAAACCCGCGGCTGCCGGACCCACCCGGCCGGGAATAGTGCTCCTGGTTGTTTCCGGCTCGCGTGGGTGTGTTGGCGGCGGGGCCTGACAACCCCGGCCTCCCGGCCTCCCGCCGGCCCAAGTGGGGCCTGGGGCTGGGGAGGGCGCAAGCTGGGCCCGGTGGCTGCGTGCCGCCCCTGACAGGGCCTGCCGTGAGTGCCATGATCGTCCCCATGTTACAGTTGACAAGCTTAACGATTCAGGGATGGAAAGTGACATTTCCAGGACCCCCACACTAACAGGAGGCGAGGCTGAGGAGCCCAGTTCCGGCCCTTTTGCCCACCCCATGGATTCTTTGCAGTGGGATCCCCTTCTGGGGAGGCTGCAGGGTCACACTGTCCCCTCCCCTCCCCCACCTGAATTGCTGTCACTTTTCTGGGATTTCCACCTGGGTTCAGGCAGCACCTTCACCCCAGAATCTCCCTGAGCTCCCATTCCCAGTGAACCAAACCTATGGAAGCTGGAGATGGAAAAGCTTAACCCACCAGCGGAGGTAATGTGGCCGCAGAGCGCCTGAGGCCTGACTAGGCTGTGTGACCCTAGCAAGGGACACCACCGCACTGGAGCCCAGCCACTGGGAAGGCTCTGCCCTGGGCCTGACTCCTGGTGGGGGCAGGGTGCGGCTGGAGGAGAAGTGCTGGTTTCCAAAGTGAGGAGAGGCCACATCCAGCGTCGGGTGGGGTCCTGCTCACCCATGTTCTTCTGTGTTCCCAGCTGGTTCATGGGGCGGCGACCCGAGTACACAGACCCCAAGGTGGTGGCTCAGGGTGAAGGCCGGGAAGGTAAAGCTCGCTCCCCTCCCTTACCCCCAGCCCCCAGACGGGTTAGAGCCTGGGAGTGGGTGGGCCCAGGATTGGGGGTGAATGCCAGGGACCTGCCAGGCACCTGGGAGCTGGTCCACGAATGTTGCCAGATGAGGGCTGCTGGAACACAGAGGGTTTGTTGTGTCTGCCTGTCCCGGCTGCAGCCTCTTTCCCTCCCAGTGAGTGGCATAGGTCAGGCACTGTTGTCCCCATTTTACAGATGAGAACGCTGAGGCTGAGAGATTCCCAGATCAACCTGGGTTTGTCTCTGCCCCAGCCCAGCCTGGCTGATGCTGCCCTTCTGTCCCCAGTGACCCGAGTCCGCTCTCAGGGTTTTGTCACCCTCCTCTTCAACGTAGTGACCAAGGACATGAGGAAGCTGGGCTACGACACTGGGCCTGCGGACACACAGGGCGTCTCAGGCCCCAGCCCGCCCCAGGGCTTCCCCCAGTGAAGGCACCACAGGTGCACAGTCTCTGATAATGAAGGGCTGCCTTCCTGGAGTCAGCTGCTGGCCATCGATCTAAAGGGCAGCCTGGTGGCGGGAGCTGGGGCACACAGAACAGTTTTCTATAATAAAGTCACATTTTCAGAGAGCCCAGGCCTGGGGCTGCCTTCTCTCCTGCTTAGCCCCTCCCCCACAGGAGCTGGGGGCTCTTGGGCCTTCCCCGGCCCCAACTCCAGGGCTCTCCCCGTCCCTACCCCTTGTGCTGTCGAAGCTGTCTGGAGACCAGACCATGGCCATCTGGGTTGGGAGCTCTGACATCACCAGGTTCTGCCACTCACAGCTGTGTGGCCTTTTCTACACCTCAACACATTCATCCTTGAACTGGGCATGGCACCCTCCTTGGAGGCTTGGGGTTTAAGCAGAATCACCTGCTCAGCCATGCTCTCAGCCACGAGCCTCTCTTGGCAAGGAGGAGAGAACCCTACTATTGGGAGCTGGATGGTGAGGTGCCCTCGGAATGGCAAACCCTCAGCCTGCCCACTCCCCTCTCCGCCCCCACTACCTGCAGTCCCAGGGTTGGGGCTGGAAACCTCCCAGGGGTGGGAGGCTGCCAGCTGGAGTCCAGCTATTTGGCAGCCCCTTGGCAAGAGAGGAAGGTGAGCTCCCTGGCTTAACACCCTGGCCTCTGAGGTGATCTGGGCCCCTCTGGAAGCAGAGTCCCTTCAGCATTACTCCGGGGGGCCTTGGGCCTGGGCCTCCCCCCGTCACATAAACCTCTGGAAGCTCACTAGGCAGCCCCGGGCCCTCTCTGCCCTGCCACTGAGCTTTTGGCAGATGTGGTGCCCCAGCCTAGATACTGTCCTCAGCGGGATCCAGGAGAAACCACAGGCTAGCCCATGTTACCCTGGGCTGTTCGGGGCACTTGCCCTGAGACCACCTGAGCCGACCGTCTTCTGCGCTTTATCTCCTGGGCACTCCCCTGCCCTCCCCACAACTCACTGTGCGTTCTGGAACTCGTGGTCTGTGGTCAGCAAAATTCCTGATTCCAACTGTCTTCTCTGAATAGGAAGTTCCCTCTCGCGCTGGCCTTGCTGAAGCCCACTCAGTCGCCTGCAGCCCTCTTAGGTGGAATCTTTTTCCTCCCACACCCCATGTGCGGTGGGCCGAGACTGGGAGTGTCCTTGCCGCCTCACTCGCAACCCTCTTCACCACTCCCCCAACAGCCGTGCGTATTTCTTGTTACTGGTGACCGCACTGCCTCCGAGGACTAGATTGAGGTGTCCCTCACTCAGGCCAGGCTCTCCCTCCTGTGGCGCTTCCCCCGGCCCTTCAGACCGCCAGGCTCTGCAAGCCCTTGGCCCAGCCCCTTTTTACCAACTGTCAGCCCCTCTTTCCTTGTTTTCCTCCCAACCCAGTTTAGAATTCCTGGTCACCTGCATGCACTTCCCGGTAGTGCCCTCCTGCCTTCATGCTCACCTGGCAGAGCCCTGGTAGCAGTCAGCTGTCCGTCCGCCTGCCCTGCACCTGCCTGAACCGCAGAGCCGCGGCTGCCCATGTTCCATCCACAGCCCTGGTCTGTTTCCTTGGACAGCTCCCTATGAGTTCCCTGAAGAAACAGGTTTTGTCTCTCCAGCCCTCCAGCACCCGCCCTGCCAGCTTAGCTGAGGCGCTCCCTCCATTCCCACAACCACCCCACACCGCTGCCTTCCTGAGCCGACCTGAGGATGCGCCTTGGCAGTGTGGCAGACGCGGTGTCTCCGGCTTCTCCCAGGCCCCCACCCACAAGGGGCTTCTTCCTCCTCCCTCCATCGTGAGCTTTCCTGCACAGGCTCCTTCACGTCAGCCTCCACACATGCCCCCCACATGTCACGGGAGGACAACGCACCCCCAGGCTGCTCCTGTCGTCTGCCCCATTTTATCACAGCTCCCTGAGCGGCTGTCTTCTCTGTCCATGGCCTCACCCCACCCAGACCACTGACCTCGGTCGGCATCAAGGCGACCTGCAGCGTCTTCCCTGAAGCCTCTAGCCTGTGGCGTGCATGGCCGAGCCTCAGGCCCCTTTCATCCAGCCTGTCGGCAGCTGCCACATACTCAATCACCCTCTTCCGGTTATGTTTAATTTTTCCAATTTTTCTCAACATCACTCAAATGTTTAAACATGGAAAAGTTGACCTCAGTTTACAGTGAGCACCACATACCCACAGATTCTACCATGGCCGCTTTCCTGTTGCATACTTGCATTTTTACATCTATCAACTATTCATCTCTGCTTCAATCCATCCTACTTTTAGTGCATTTCAAAATAAACCGCAGCATCAGGACACCGCCTTCCATGTGTTTCAGCACGCTCACCATTAACCAGAATCCAGACTTGAGTGTGTTCTTTTGAGGGGACATTTACATACAACAAAATGCATAACTATTTTTCTTTTTTTTTTTGAGACAGGGTCTTACTCTGTCCCCCACACGAGTGCAGTGGCAAGATCTCGGCTCACTGCAACCTCTGCCTCCTGGGTTCAAGCAATTCTCCTGCCTCAGCCTCCAAGTAGCTGGAATTCCAGGCACCTGCCACCATGCCCAGCCAATTTTTCTATTTTTAGTAGAGATGGGGTTTTACCATGTTGGCCAGGCTGGTCCTGTACTCCTGACCTCAGGTGGTCCACGTGCCTCAGCCTCCCAAAGTACTGAGATTACAGGTTTGAGCCACCACGCCTGGCCCAGAATGCTTTAAGAATTCGCAACCCAGCTGGATGTGGTGGCTCACGCCTGTAATCCCAGCACTTTGGGAAGCCAAAGAGGGTGGATCACCTGAGGCCAGCAGTTCAAGACCAGCCTGGCCAACATGGTGAAACCCCCATCTCTACTAAAAATACAAAAAATTGGGCACGGTGGCAGGCACCTGTAATCCCAGCTACTTGGGATGCTGAAGCAAGAGAATCGCTTGAACCCGGGAGGCGGAAGTTGGAAAAAAAATGCACAACCCAGCCCCAAAAGCACAGAACGAGCATCACTGTCACCTCACAAAGCTCCTTGCATCCCTGCCCAGTCAAGACGAGATGATGCAGTGAGATTTAAAGGCTGAAAGTGTGAGTGCCTGAGAAGCTGGGTGGAGGGTGTTGGGCACGTGGGACCCCCTCCATGAGGACAGGTGAGGCATACAGGGCCCAGGTCCACGCTCACTTGCTGTCCTTGCTGTCGGCCACTGTCACAAAGTCGCATGTTCACCAGACAACCTCCCTCTTCTCCTGGCACACCTGAAGACTACATTTCCCAGGCCCCTTGTATCGGGGTGGGTCTGTGTGAGTAGTTCTAGCCAAAGCAAAGTATGAAAAGGGTGTTCACCACTAAGCAGGCGGACCCACTTCAGTGTCACGGGAGCAGTTCTTGTTCTGGGGCATGGCCCTCTTTGAGGCACACGTTGAAGATAGCAGCATCATAAGGGAGGAGCCTGGGTCTTGGCACCCCAGTTTGCAGAGCACCGCCAGGAGTATCTCCATCAGGCTTTTTATGAGTGGGAAATACTCAAAAGGTACTTTACCCAGCCAACCAGAGCTTGGGTTATTTGATCTTGCACAGCCTATTCTATTGCAAATGATATGGAAATCAGGAGTGGGTCTCTGCTGTAGCCAAAACAAAACAAAACAAAACAAAACAAACAGTGTCATTGGCTAAGCAGCTGGGTGGCAGGCAGAAGGAATACAGCTCACAGGCTGGGCAGCAGGACATCGTAGTATGCAAGTACAAGACATCTGTAAGACTCTTGTGCTAACTTGGGAGGCAGGTTATGCGTCCGAAGAGCCAGCAGCTCTAGGGGAAAGGGACACACCAGATAGGATGTACATGCAGAGTGAGCTCGCTATGTTGACTGCATTTTGGAATGCCAGCACAGTAAAGAGGAAAGAACTGGCTAGTTTGCAAGCAGAAATGAATGGGAAAACAAAGAATCTTTAAAAAAAATTTTGTATCAAAAGGTTGCAAAAGCAGTCTTTCTAGAACTCGAGATGAGAAGAGGTAAGGCTGAAAATTGCTTTGAACAATAAATGCATAATAAAACTTCTCATCTGAACAAAATAACTTGGCCTTTTGGTAAATATGGAATTAAGGGGGTGGTTCTCCCATCATAATCCCAGATGACCTCATGATAGCTACCATTAAGTTGAGAGAAGCATGGAGGTAAGGAAATAAGGCAGCTTAGGTCTAGGAAAGAATTTTTTTTTTTTTTTTTTTCCTGATGGGAGTCTCGCTCTGTCACCAGGCTGGAGTGCAATGGCATGATCTTGGCTCACTGCAACATTCGCCTCCAGGTTCAAGCAATTCTCCTGCTTCAGCCTCCCGTTTAGTTGGGACTACAGGTGGTATGCACCACCACGCCTAGCAAATTTCTGTATTTTTAGTAGAGACGGGATTTTACCATGTAGACCAGGATGGTCTCAATCTCCTGACCTCATGATCCACCCACCTTGGCCTCCCAAAGTGCTGGGATTACAGGTGTGAGCCACTGCCTGGCCTAGGAAAGAATTTTATGTGTGTGCTTGGGATATCTATTGCTATTTAACAAACTACCCCAAAACTTTGGTTTAAAACCACTATCATTTATCACTCATGATCTTGTCAGGGACTGGGCTCAGCTGGGTGGTTGTGCTGCACTTGCTGCTGGCTGGGGCTGTTCCACTGAGCTGACCAAGATGATTACTCACATGGCTGGCTGTTGTCTGGGGCTCATCAGGGCCTACTGACCAGAACACCTCAGTTCTCTCTCATGTGACCTCTCCCTGTGTTTGAACTTCTCATAGCATGACAGGTGGGCTACCAGTGGAACATATGAAGATGTCAAGCCCCATGTGCAGGCATTTATTAAGCTCCTGCTGCTATCATGCCACTGGCCCCATCTAGTCATAGGCCATGCCCATCGGGTGAGGGAGACCACACTGGGAGACAGGGTCTATCAGGGGCCACTAAAGTAACACTCTGGCCAAAATAATGCAGTTACTTGCACATGAAACTGATTAGACGTGCTAAGATTGTCATGTTTTTGAGGAAACTGCTTCTACAAGGCCCACGAGCCTGGACTGAAGCCGCCAGTTCACTTAAAACAGGTCCTAGCTTCACATGCACACCAATGTTCATTGCAGCACAGTTTACAATAGCAAAGACCTGGAACCAACCCAAATGCCCATCAATGATAGACTGGACAGGGAAAATGTGGCACATATGCACCATGGAATACTATGCAGCCATCAAAAAAGGTGAGTTCACGTCCTTTGTAGGGACATGGATGAACCTGGAAACCATCATTCTCAGCAAACTGACACAAGAGCAGGAAATCAAACACCGCATGTTCTCACTCATAGGCGGGTGTTGAACAATGAGAACACTTGGACACTACCCACTGGGGTCTGTCGGGGGGAAATAGGGGAGGGACAGTGGGGGGTGGGGAGTTGAGGAGAGATAACATGGGGAGAAATGCCAGATACAGGTGAAGGGGAGGAAGGCAGCAAATCACACTGCCATGTGTGGACCTATGCAACAATCTTGCATGTTCTTCACATGTACCCCAAAACCTAAAATGCAATTAAAAAAAAAAAAAAAGAGGTCCTAGCCTGGAACCATCCACCCACAGGCAGTAGGTGAGAAAGGTGAGCTTGGTCCAAGAGCTGCAGCCAAAGGGATACAAAAATGGCCAGCCGCCCCCACTCCCCCAACCGCTCCCCCGGCCCAAAACCAGGGGGCAGAGCAGGGCACCATCAGGTCCTTTCCCTCCTCAGTGCAAGGCGACGTCAGTCTGTGCTGCAGCCTCCAGCACTGTGGGGGCATCTCCCATTCTCTGCTCCTCAAAATGGAGCTGGACTGTGGATACTGACCCCTCCCCCATTGTCTGTTATCTTTGGGGGAAAGGCACAGATCACAGGTCTTTCTAGTTTACAGGCTGTGTCTGCCTTGCTGGAGAAGGCTCTGAACCCACAGAGCCCAGGACACAGGACCTTTTGGTCTATGTGTGAGAAGAGGACTGAAATAACTCTCTGGGAGCCAGAGAGTCCTGTGACCCAGACTGGCAATGTTAACCTAAGCCCATTTCCCCACCTCCCACCTTCCGCCTCAAAGGAAGCCTGCACTGGCCCATGCCGCCACATCTGGATGGGGGCCGAGGACCTAATTCTGGCACCGACATGGGTAGCAGTGAGGCACTTCCAGGCCTGGTTGTAAGAAATCTTCTATGCTTGACCCTTGTCCATTTGTCCCTTCGTAGCCACCTTAAGGCTGTCAGAGACATCAGTGTCTCAAGATGAAAGTGGCTTGGGCCCCTCAGTCACTGACTTCTGTGAGAAATAAAACTCGTGTGAAGCCGCTGAGCCCTGGAGATTTGTCACAGCCACATAACCAAGAGCATCCTACACACCCTTCTTTCGCTCATAGCCCCTGCACTGAATGGGCACTCCCTGCCACCAGCCCCTAGTCTCCTGGCTGTGGGTCAAGCTTGTCCGCTTGTCCTTGGGTCCACTGGGAGCCAGGCACTGGCAGAGAGCAGAGGGCTGCAGGGCAGCCCCAGGCCTCCCTCCAGGCTTGTCTCAGGACCTCCAGCCCTTCCCACCAGCGTCTCCCAGCCGACCCTGCCTCCTCCCACGACCCGAGCACCACTTCTACCGCTGCTGCACGTGTCCTCCAGCCGCTGCCCTCCTCTGGTCGGCGACTCAGGCACAGGCCCTTTGTGTCGGTCAGCTTTGCACAGCAAGCCACCCAAGAACCGGTGGCTCCAAAAGGCCCTTCCTCTCCCGAACACGCAGTTGGCTGGGCAGTTCTGCACACTCCCTCCCTCCGTGGCCACGGCAGTGGCAGCTTCCCAGAGCAGCTCTTCGGCAGCACGGACAGAGGCAGATCACAGGACGCCTCTGGGGATCCAGCACACTGTCACACCTCATCCAAAGCAGCCTCCACCAGTGGCAAGGCCACGGCAAGAGGGTGGGCATGGTAGGGTAAAGGGCAGGGGCTAGCATCCCCCAGGCCACCAGTCTGAGCACCTCACCAAGGGCAGGCCTCCCTCAAGGGCTACCTCCCACACCCTTTTCCCTGAGGTTCAGGGGCAACTGAATGCCCGGCTCACATGGGCACTAGGACTAGGTTGGTGGCCTCATTAACTGCAGATCAAGCGCAACAGGAATCGGCTCCCTTGTCTCCCACCCCTCTCCGGTGGCACGGGACTGATGAGGATGGAGTGGGAGAAGGACACGGCCAGAAACTGCATCATGATACAAATGATAAATTATATTTATACAGTAAATAAGTATCAACAGTCAACACAAGTTCAAAACCAGCCACCGGCCTCTGGGACTGAGGAACAGCTGGGCGACATCTTCCACCACTGTGCCCATCAGGAGGGAGCACGATGGCACAGGTGCAGCACGCGTGGCAGTGGCCGGTAGCTTCATGATCAGTGCAGTGGGCAACAGGGACATGCAC